AACTTTCACCATATCCTCCTCTGTGTTGGCAGTGACCAAGTTGAGTAGACGACCATGCCTCTCGGTGAATGGAGAATTCTCAGGAATCCTTGAAGCTAGCTCCTTGAGTTGTGGAGGAATTATTACAAGGTTGACTTGGACAGTTTTCCTACGAAGTGAATCCATAACCTATAAAACAAGAACAAAGATGAATCTCCAAAATCCTTGAAATGGTTAGTGGATGCATATGATGTTTCATAATGTCCATGATGTTATGCACAAGTATATATGTCCAAGAAAATCACACAAGTTCCTATTTTAGGCTTGCATGGGGTTTCATAGGTAAATACCCTCTTGAAGTTTAGTTGGCTCAACCTGTCCTAGAAATAGTAACCGGGTTCTAAGGAGCTTAATATCACTGGATTGTTTCCTTGTTCATTGTTTCAATTCAGCCTCTTTACTGGAGATCGAAATATTCCAAGGAACCAATCCTCAATGAGTGTAATATCGAGTATCTACCAACTTCAAACTGCACCAAAGCCGGTCATCTCACTACATCCTAAAAGGCCAAGTTGGTCAAGTAAAGGTTCTAGAAGTTCGTTAGTGCTTCATGACATCACTCAGCGGCCCCGTATTATCTTTGATTGACTCAAAGGCTACCAGTACCCACAAATATGTCACACTAACATAGCTATTGCTTAGACCATGTCGGTATACCCCGCACAGTTTCCACAACGTATTGATATTTACCTATGAATGTTTCCCAAATTCGGGTAGAGGATTCAAACCTAAACAATAAGACCAAAGTGTAAAGCAAACAAGTCAAGCAAGATAAGCATTTAAAGGTGATCTAAAACCCTAAGGTAACCCCACTTTCAGAAATTTCCCCAGCAGAGTCACCAGTTCTGTGATGTGGTGGGAGAACTGACTTGAGGTTTTGCGTTTGTGTTTGCAAATGTTGCGGTTTAGCAAGAGTCGCCACCGACTTTTATTTTATCCAAAAGTAAAGGTAAAAAAGAACAGGAAAGACCTTTGAGATGTTTTCTTGAGTTCGGAGGGTAGATTATGAAAAGGGAAGGTATTAGCACCCTTTTCATCCATGGTTTTCCATGGGCTCTTAGTTACTTGTTTAGATCACTTGCTTTGCTTTGACAATTGTTTGAAATGGTGCTTTGTGTGTGGTTTTGAAAGTATTTTGAAAAGAGGCCATCGTTTAGGCAATCTTTGTAATGATTCTCGTTCGTAAGAATGTATACAAAGATATTTGTCTTTTGAAAAATGTTTCAATGTTTTGAAATTTGTTTGGAAAATGTTTTGAAATGTGTGTGTTTGTTTGAAAATAGCAAGGATTGTTTGCAAATTGATCAAGTAACTAGAAGCATTCTACCTACTCAAAAGTCTTTCTTGTACATTTTTATTCCTTTGACATTGTTGATTTACCATTGGTTTGGTAAACAACCCTATCTTTGGATGTTAAACGGGACGGGCGTGGGTCATCGTATGACCATGATAGCAATGGTGCCAAGTATCTTAGCTTGTTTGAGGGACTAAGATCATTTGTTTAGGCAACTTTTTGATAGCGTCATCGAGAGACTATGATCTTTTGTTTTGTTTTTTTTGCCAAGATACTTTGCATGCATACCATGGCCATTTAAATTAGGCAACCAAGTGGATGAAACCCTAGAGGTGCTTGTGTGCAATGTGTTGTCATTTTACATGTTTTTTTGTCTTGTATTAGGTTATGTTATTTGTTTGATTTTTGTCTTATCATACAAACCCTAATTTTATTAAACATGTATATAATGCGATAAATTGCATAAAATAAATCTAAGCTATTACAACAATATTATGGGAGGGGTATACAAGTTTTTGAATGGGGATATTTGCACAAAATAAAAATCCTAATTTACTATTACAACCAAATTGAATATTGTACAATAAATAAATAAACAATTATTTAAATATGCAATAAAATGTATGGATGCAAAATGTTTTTGTATTTATTTTATGTATGAAAAAATAAAATTATTTAAGTCCTAAAAAATAAGAAAAAATAACATTATTATTTTTGAAAGGGGAAACCCTAATTTTTTGATTTAAAAGAAAAATATGTTCTATATTTATATTTTGTCTATTTTTTGTATAAGAAAAATATAAGTAATAATATATACAATATTAAAAATTAAATATGTGTGAAAAATAAATATTTAATGTGTATAAATAAAATAATAAAAATATTAAGCCTTTTTTATTATTTACAAGTTTCATTTAAGAAAATAGAATCCATTTGTCAAAATAAGCTTTTTTTATGTGAGAAAGTAAATAAATAAAATAAAATAAAGTGTGAAAATAAATAAAATATTTTTGGGTATTTTTTATCATTAGGAAAAATAAATGCAAGTAATAAAATAAAAATATGCAAGAAAAATATGAAAATATAAAAAATAAGTCAGGGGGTGCAAAAGTAAAACAGGGGGTGCAAAAAGTAGAAACAAAAAAGGCCAGAAACAAAAAAGTCCAAGACAACATCTTCGTCCCTGTCCTTGGTTCCTTTCCAGCGCGCGTTTTTTCAAACCTGCAACTCTCACATACATGCACAAAAGCAAAAACTCATAACACAAAACATGTAGCTTATGATCTCACGATTTTAGTGATATAAAGAACATAATCTAACTCTCAAGGATCATGGAGAATTTCTGTAGCCCTAATTCCTGACCTAATTTTTTCATGAACTTCAAGCTTCAAATTCTCACTACTCAGTTAATATAAATGACAACTATGCATATCTACAGCTTCAGCAAGTTAAGGACTACATTTTTGCTTCACAAATCAAAGCTTGGGGATTCCTAAATAGAGAGATAGAGATTTGAAAAATACCTTGATCAGCTGAGTTTGGATATGGCAATGTGGGGACTTTGAGTGAGGCATGAAGATCGTGTGAGCTTCCTTGAAGTTCCCTCAAGTTATTCCAATGCTCAGCTTTCCTTGAGGATGTTTGAAACTCCTCGTAGAAGTCAACCTGCAACCTTCAAAAGTGAAAATGGTGATGTGTAAAACAGAGCTCACAGAACCAGAACAAGGGCTTGTATAGTTTAGGTAGGATGTATGGAAGGTGTTTCAAGTGTTGAATCAAGAAACGCACGAGCCAATATTGAGTTGGCAAGAAATATGCAGAAGCTGCCCTGTTTGGGTAGAAAAATGTGTTTTTGTGTTTTGGGAGAGTTTTGAATGTTGTGAATTTGTGTATTGTCTTGGATAAGTTTGTCAAGTTGTTTAGAATGAAGCCAAGTCTTCTCTTTATCAGATGGACAAGTTATCTTGACTTTTGCCAAATTGCTTGCTTTTGAAGAAAGTTGAAATGACTTATGCCAAAGGCCTGTACAGGCTTGCTTGCTAGCTGCATAGAGTTGGTACAAGTTGCTTGTTATCTGTGGAAAATGCCTGCATCCAAGGAACAAGTCCAAGGCTCAAGGCTGATAAAGTGGAAAAGGCTTGCTTTATCAAAATGGTATTATGAACTTTATGCCATTTATGGATTAATCTTTTTTACAATGCTCCAAAGATCAAAATAAAGCCATTATCCATTGAGTTAGCATTCAATTATGGAGTGTAGAAGGGATTAGGACCTGTAATGAAAGGTACAAGCATGCTAGGAACTGATTTTCAACTTGAAGTATTGTAAACATAGCTTGAACAAAAGTGACAAATTTCCATTTTCTCTTCTTCGATTATCCCTAACCACAAATAATCTTGGAGAGTTCTTGGACATTTTGGAAAGCTTGTAACATGTTCTGCAATCCATATTTGAAATTCATTTTGAGATACCTCTTGGAACTAGGTGAAAAATGCCCATGAAGTTAGGTCAAAAACCTGCCTAAATTAGGGCAAATTTTCACTAAGTTAAAAAGTTTATGGACCCTTATTCACAAATTCATAACTTGAGATCCAAGAATCATTTCTGGAAACTTTGTGAAACAAAGTTGTAGATTTCATGGAGGACTACAACTTTCATGTTGGAAGTTTTCTTTGAATCCATTTGCATCATGGTGAAAAAGTTATGGAAAGTTGGGAAAAAATAAGAAAATTTCCATACTTAGAAATTTTCTAAGTTATGGAAAATTTTCAAATTAAAACCCTAATTTGCAAAATTGATTTTCTTGATCAAAAAGTTTCATATTTTGACATATATTGATGAATTATGACCCTTGGCACTTGATTTTGACCAAAAAGTCAAAGTTTGACTTTTCAGTGTACAATTGACTTTTGATCAATTGACTGCAAAATTCATCTGTCAATCTTATGCATTTGATATCTTTTGAACTATATGATTAGGTCAATATGATTCTATTGAGTCCTTGAAATCATGCTTGAACCCAATTGGTCATTGGCTAGGTTAAAAATCAGAAATTGCCCTTTCTCAGTCAAAACCCTAATTTTGACCATTTTGCCCTTTTGATGATCTGATCAAATTTCTTGAGGAGCTGTGATCCAAACTTGATCAAATGGTACATAGGAGCCTAGAATGTTGTTGTGGATAAAAAATTATGAAGTTTGACTGTAAATTGGCCATGGTTGAATTTTTCCCCAATACAACTGATTTTTAGGTTAACTGTCCAATTGACTGGGCAAAAATGTGATTCAACGCTTGAAACTTGGTATGAACAAGCTTAGGGGTCCAAGATGGTGTATGAAAGTCACATGAAGCATTGATGGTCCAAAAATCCTTGTGCAAACTCAAATCCTAATTTCAAGTCATCAGTGTAAGATGAGGTCTTGAGCTGAGCAAACCTTAATCCTGTCTGGAGTCCAAGAAGTCTTGTGAGGAAAAATATTGATAAATGAGAGGGAAAATTTTTGGGTACAACATGGTCAAATAACTATTTATCTTTCATTGCCCATGTATATTCATAAATATCAATGGTTTGTTGATATGGGATTAATATTGAAAGTCTGTAATTATATTATTGTATTGTAGGACAAAGAGTGGGGTTGACTTGGAGATTTCCAGTAAATTGTCTGAAATGTTGTACCAAATCAACGTTCATGCTCAATCATTTCAAATGGCCATGGATATATTGAACCAAGGGAATGCTTCAGATTTGAAACTTCGGTTGATTTCAGACAGAAAAAGTGATGGAAGGATATACAATCAACCAACTATTTCCGAAGTTACCGCTTTGATTGTTAGAGATGTTAATACTGGAGAAAAAGAGATATCATAATGCAAAAATAGTCGGGTGATCTGCAAATAATAAATGAGTACCATACCACGTTTTTAGGATATCAGTATCCATTGCTTTTTCCATATGGTGAAGATGGTTATAGACCTAATGTGAAACATCAAGAGAATAATTCAACCAATTACCATAATCAAGAAAACATTGATTTTGACAGGCATGTTAAAGATATTCCATGGGAACAAGCAACAAAGAGAAATCGACTAACAATAAGAGAGTGGCTAGCATTTCGAATCTACTCCCGACCAAATGAGGCACCGACAATATTGAAATCATTGAGGCTCTATCAAAAAAATTTGGTAGATGGTTTTATAATGATGGAATCAAAAAGGCTAAGGTGGCTTAGAAAGAACCAATCAAAACTCATAGTTGGAAAGTATCACAATTCGAGTGAATTAAATTCAAACGGTCAAAACCAAGGTTCAAACACAGTAAAGAGGGTTGTCTTGCCTTCATCTTATTTTGGTAGTCGTAGATATATGGATTAACTCTATTTTGATGAAATGGTAATATGCAGTTACATTTGATTTCCTAATCTCTTTATTACATTTACATGTAACCCCAACTGGCCCGAGATACAACATTATCTCAGACCAATGAATTTGAAACCAAGTGATCATCCGAATATTATCTCAAGAGTTTTTAAACTAAAGTTTGATAAGTTATTGTCTGATTTAACCAAGAAATGTGTGATGGGCAAGTTTCTTGCATGTAAGTGTCGATCTTTGATTTCTTTATCTAAGCGTATATTATTTTTTACTAAAATTATTACAAATTTCACATACATGTTTAATTGATTCATTTAACCTCTTTTCTATTAACAAATATGTATACAATTGATTTTCAAAAAAGAGGGTTGCCTCATGCCCACATTATTATTTTTCTGCAACCATCTAACAAATATCCCACTCTAGCTAATATTGATAGAATAATTTTAGTTGAAATTCCTAATGAGGAAGCTGACCCAGAATTGTACAACTTCTTTAAGTCCCATATGATATACGGGCCATGCGGAAATGGTAACTGATTTGTGCCCTGTCTAAAAGAAGGAAAATGTTCTAAGTACTTTCCAAAGTATTTTCAAGATCAAACAATTGTTGATCAAGATGGCTTTCCAGTTTACAGAAGAAGAAACAATGGCCATTCACTTTTGAAAAATGACATTTGTTTGGATAAATTTTATGTTGTACCATACAATCCAGGATTGTTAGTGAAGTTCCAAGCTCATATAAATAATGAATGTTGCAATCAAAGTGTATCTATTAATTATTTATTCAAGTAAATTAAAAAAGGGTATGATAGAATCACTTATGCCATAGTTCCAAGCGATGATAGAAATCCCCTTGAACAACAACGTATTGATGAAATCAAAAAATACATTGACTGTAGATACGTTTCCCTGTGTGAGGCATGTTGGAGAATATTTTCTTTTCCTATACACGAAAGGAAACCAGTAGTTGAAAGGTTATTTTTTCATTGTGAAGGAGAGAACTCCGTATATTACACTAATTTTGATTGCATTAACACTGTATTGGATAAACCAAGTGTCACAGAATTGATGATTACATAATGGTTCGAAGCAAACAAAAGATATTATGAAGCTAGAGAGTTAACATACAACAAATTTGTGTTCAAGTTTATTTATGTTAAAAAATAAGATAATGGAAATCTCTACAAAAAGGTTACACAATTGGCAGGTTAATATTGGTTCCTCCTACCACATGTGAATTGTATTATCTTAGAATGATGTTAACCCGTGTAAGGGTTCCACAAAGTTATGATGAGATAAAAATAGTTAACAATGTCAAGTATGATTCTTTCTGGGATGCTTGCTTTGTTATGGTTTTATCAGAGATGATAAGGAATTTATAGCTGCTATTGAAGAGGCAAGTCATTGGGGTTCTGGGCACTATTTGATACTACTGTTTGTCCATATTTTAGTGTCAAGCAACATGAATAGGCCATCATCTGTATGGAGAAAAACATGGCAGTTATTATCATATGATATACTATATTCTCAACAACGAATTGTAAACAACAGAGGTATTATTTTATGTTTGTTCACATTCTATATATTTCTTTTGACAATTTCCATATCAAAGCATCTAATTAGTTACACGACATGACTTATTTTTTAGAATTGAGGTTATCAGATGAAGATGTAATAAATTTAACATCATCTACTACCTAAGCAAGAAATTTACTGACTGCGAAACCCGATACTCACTTCTCGAGAAGACTTGTTGTGCTATGGCTTGGACCACAAAACGACTGAGGCAATATACTTAACTCACACCACGTGGTTAGTAGCAAGAATGGATCCTCTTAAGTATGTGTTCAAAAAGCCAGCTCTTACAGGAAGAAATTCTCGATGGAAGATGTTGTTATCTGAATACGACATCCAATATGTTACTCAAAAGGCCATCAAAGGCAGTGTGCTAGTTGATCACCTGGCTCATCAACCATTGACAGAATATCAACCAATGAAGTTTGACTTTCCAGATGAAGACATCATGGTTATAGGTGATTACGAAATATAAGAACCCGTCGAAGGACCAGAACCAGGGGCACGATGGACACTAATATTTGACGGTGCTTCAAACGCACTTAGACATCGTATTAGGGCTGTATTGACTTCTCCAAAGAACTTTCATAAGCATTATACTGCGAGGCTATGTTTTGATTGCACCAACAGTATTTCTGAATACGAAGCTTGTATCATAGGTCTAGAAGCTACCATTGATCTAAAGATTAAATACCTCTAAGTATATGGAGATTCGGCGTTAGTCATATATCAAGTCAACGGTGAATGGGACACTCGACATCCTAAATTAATTCCATATCAGGATTATGTTTTGGAGCTAGCTATAAAATTTTCAAAGATAACTTTCACTCATATTCCACGAGAAGAAAATCAAATGGCAGACGCCTTGGAAACTTTGTTAGCCATGTTCAAAGTTACTTGGCCTAATCATGAACCACGCATCTCGATCAGACATTTCAAAGAACCTACACATTGTCTCACTGTTTAAGAAGGATCAAATAACAAACCTTGGTTCTACGACATCAAAAGGTATCTAGAAAAACAAGAATATCCAGAAGGTGCCTCAATTATAGACAAGCAAACCCTACGAAAGCTAGTTACAAAGTTCTTCTTAAATGGTGATGTATTGTATAAAAGAAACTACGACATGGTGCTACTCAGGTGCATGGAGAAACATGAAGCAAATATACTCATGAGAGAGATCCACGAAGGAACCTTCGAGACTCATACCAATGGGCATGCCATGGCTAGGAAAATCTTAAGAGCAAGGTATTATTGGTTGATAATGGAAGCTAATTGTTACCATTATACAAAGACATGTCACAAATTCCAAATCTATGCTGACAAGGTGCACGTACCACCAACTCCTCTGAATATCCTAAGTTCACCATGGCCATTCTCGATGTGAGGAATTGATATGATAGGAATGTTCGAACCAAAGGCTTTTAATGGACACCGATTCATACTAGTCGCCATTGACTATTTTACCAAGTGGGTAGAAGTTGCGTCTTATGCAAATGTCACAAATTAAGTGGTCACTTGCTTTATTAAATAGAACATCATATGCAGGTATGGGGTTCCTAGCATAATCATTACAGACGATAAGTCTAACTTGAACAATAAAATGATAAAGGAGTTATGCGATGATTTCAAAATCGAGCATCATAATTCATCACCTTACCGACCCAAGATGAATGGGGCCGTTGAAGCTGCCAATAAAAATATCAAGCAGATCATTCAGAAAATGGTGAAGACATGTAAGGATTCGCATGAAATGCTTCCCTTTTCTTTACACTCCTACTGTACCTCAATACATACTTTGACAGGTGCAACTCCTTTATCTCTTGTTTATGGAATGGAAGTTGTACTCCATGTTGAAATAAAGATTACATCACTACGAGTTCTAATGGAATCTAAGCTTGAAGAATCAGAATGGGTCCAAACATGACTCGATCAGCTCAACGTCATTGAATAAAAACGCTTAACAACTTTATGCCATAGTCAGTTGTATCAAAAGCGAATGAAGAAAACCTTCGATAAAAAGGTCTGTCCTCAAGTATTCAAAGAAGGGGATCTAGTTCTCAAGAAGATTCTAATACCTCGTCTAGATTCACGTGGTAAACGGACACCTAACTATGAAGGTCCATATGTGATTAAAACAGAATTCTAGGGAGGATCTCTTATCCTTACAATAATGGACAGGGAAGAACTACTCATCTGCTGAATTTCGACGCAGTCAAAAAATACTATGTATAAAAGGTCCGCTAAGTTGAAACCCTAAAAAGGAGACTTAGGCAAAAAGGGGCGTCCCTGTGGTTTGAAAACCCTAAAGGTAGATCCATGCAAAAATTAGGGACATATAAACAAAATCATTATCCTGGTGGGTTGAAAACTCGAAAGGGTGGTCTAGGAAAAAGTTAGGGATTTTATTCAAAAATTGAACAAATATATTGCGGCTTGAGAATTCATTACATCTACGACTACAAAGGAGAAGAATTGATCTTGCTATCTTACTCAGAAGCAAGAATATTGGAGTTACCAAAGGACATTGGAGAAATAGCAGTATCAATTATCACTTTCATAGCCATGTTGAGTTTTGTTAAACTTTTTTATAATTATCTCATTTTAGGAATTGCATCTAGTACTTTCGCCTGTTCAAAGGCATTATCATTAATAAAATAATTTATTTATAAGTTATGTTTCGATTGTGTTTTTATTTTTTCGACTTGTTTGCAAAATACTACGATTATTTTTTAGAAACACTATGTCGAAATTATTTTGGGTATTTGAAATAAATAAGAGCATTTGACAAAACATCAAAAAGCGCTTTGGTTAGAAAAACGTCAAAAGAAATCTACGTTTGTGCCTACGCCTATGATACAATTATCAACATATTGACATTATTCATTGCAATATATAAAAATACGAATCAACTTGGAGA